GATTCTATGATTCTATGATTCTAAGTTGGGTTTGTTACAGTCTCTGTCAATTTAAATTCTGTCCTCCATCTGCAAAGCTTTTCCTACCAAAAGTTTTGTCAAAACTGATACTCCGTCATTACCAGTCTAAAAAATATGCTTCCTCTAAAAAATTCCCAATTTCTTTGTGTATGGCAGACACTGCTCATCTGACCAAGTGCAAAGGTCTGCAGTAGTTTGAAAATAAACAGGCAAAAAGAAAGAAAACTGGACAGTGACAGTACTTTGTCAGGAAGAGTAATGGGTAAATTCTGTTACCAATAGTTACTTCTCTGTGACTTTCATCCTTAATGCTTGGTTATAAGGTGTAGAATAACAAAAGGAAGCTATTGTTTTTGATGGCATAAAGAAGTCCTATGTGTGAACATGAATTTATGCAAAACGCTGACATTTGAAAAGAACAGTGGATGCCACCTTTTTATGATAGGTCTTCTGCTTCATACAGCTGTTGGAACAGCTGTCATCTTGTTTGGTGTCAAACTGCCGGCAACAGTTCATGTCAGCTGAATTGTACTTGTGTGAGGATTTTTTTCCTTTCCCCTGTGAAATAAACAAAATATCTTTGTCTCTGGGTGATACATAATATATGTTGCAATGAACTTGAATATTTGCTTTAGTCTTAGTGTTAAAATTAGTAAAGCTGAATCGATGACTACGTAGATGTCTTCCTCAAGTATATTGTTTTGTTTCTCCAGGTTTAGAAATGTTCAAAGAAGTCCGAGTTCCCATAATTCCTTCTGAAGAACCTTTCAAAAGACCAAGTGAGTTTAGGTCTCTTGAACTTAAAACTTCCAGTATTTTTTGGCTAATTTTTCTGTGTTTCTTTCCATACAGAAAAGCTACATGTTGTAGGAATTGTTATTCAATAATTTGTGAAGCTGTTCCGAGTGTCTGAGCACAATTTCTCGTTTTAAGATATTAGACTTGTCTACCTTTACATATCTAGCTGTAGTGCCGACTTATGAGGTCAGTGTACTTAGGTGGTTTTATCATATGCATAGGTACCTCCAATATTATTCAGTTCATAGGTCTAAAAGTGTCTATTGTGCCTGCACTCCTGATTTAAGTACCTGCAGTTGCATGGGATAAATTCAGACCTATATGCTTTATGGGAACTGATGTATTACAATTATGTACTTAAACCACCCTGAAGCAATGTTGTAATTTGTGGACTGGTTTCTTCAGTTTGAGTGTGCTTTTTATTTCTCTAGAGCCAGTGGAAAGTTTCTCTGCAACACTTATGGATTATTTCCGAGATGTGTGCAAATCTGTGGCCATGGAGCGTGAAGTAACTCTTGATCTCCTGTTTATTGATGGGACACTTGTTCAAAGCCAAACTGAAACCAAGACTGGGAAGAATAGTGTAAAAGCAATGGAAAAGGAGCTGGTACCTTGCAGTCTGCAAGGGAAGGAAAAGGCAACCCTTAAAAGAAGCCAAATATTTCAAATCCTGGGATGTAAAGACTTAGAGACTAAAGTGATTATGGTGCTGGGAAAAGCAGGA